GCAAGGGGAGCAGCAGAAACACATTCTATGTAACTTTTTAAATTAATTTTCTAGTTAAAAGTGGCTTGTTTCTAGCTGTGATCTTGTACAAAGAACACCTGTAAGATACCGTTGTCTTGCATTGGCACATGTACAGTTTATATGAAATTGTGTTTGCTTTCTATTTCCCCTCTCTTAAAAGTCACGTTCGTACCAGTAGCTGCAGTTACACCAGGGGACTCGGTGGTGGGGGTGTCCCAGTTCCTCTCCAGCCACGTTTTGTAGTGACACCTTCCCGTGCTCGCTCCCTGGCGCTCCCCACGCAGCGAGGACCGGCCCGGTGCTGCTGGGAGGCTGCTGTGGGTCCTGCCCCCCCAGAGACCAGCTTGTCTCCAAGAAAAGGGTTTGGTTTTTTCCTCACCTCTCCCTCTCCATCGTGACAGGTCTTGATCATGCCATCAGGGCTTGAACTTTTTCTTACAGAAGTCTTCAGTTTGGAACAAACCAGCCACAGGGCTGCACCGTACTGGGTTTGTAACAAAAGCAAAAGTGGCTGCTGCAGCTCCTGTGGATCATCAGTTGAAAATTGCAGCCTAGTTTTGTGAATTTTTTAGGTTGGTTTCTTTTTTTGGTCTTTTTTTTTTTCTTTGGTCTTTTTTTTGGTGGGTGTTTTGGTTTTTTGTTTGTTTGGTTTGGTTTTTTCCTTGTTTTTTTGTTTTTTTGTTTTTTTAGCAGGTATTTGTTTCAGTTCTGGACTGGCGATGGCTGCAGAGACCAGGCAGGTTTTCAGCCACTTCCCTCTTTCACCCTGCCCAGCCTCGGCTCCCTGCCCCACAGAATAGCACTGACGTTTGTATTCCGCACGTCCCCTCCAGAGGCTTTGTTTTGTCCTGTTCGTAGAGAACATTTTCTGCAGGTCCTACCCAGTGAAACCTTTGGAGCTGTACGTTTTTTAAAAAATAAATGTCATTTGGGGGGGAGGGGGTTTCTGCTAAGGGCTGTACTTGTAATAAATTGGAAACCTAAAAATAAACATTATGTACTTGTGTTTGTAAAACCCGCGTGCAGCGAGTCCTTTGCCAGTGCTGTGTGTCTGGGATGTCTTGCCTGCCTTTCCCAGAGCCCACAGCAGATGCGGTGTCGCTGCCTTCGGGAGGGAAAATGGAGCCGTGGAGCAAGGGAGCAGCCAGGCTGGGCCGGGTCAGTCGCAGCCCTGGAGAGCGGGCGGCATCTGCTCAGCTTTGGTTATGCCCGCGGCTGGGCCATGCCTCGGTTCCAGTGTGGCTGCCACCCTGGAGAGGGGGAGCGGGGCTGTGCCCTCCCTGCCCCGGGCAGGGGTCACTGGGGTGCAGGAGCAGCCCTGGGGCTGGCCCTTGTGACTCCTGTCGTCCTGCCACAGCATGCAGGGATCAGGAGAGGGTGAAGGGGCGCTGAACCATCTGCGCTTTCACCCCAGCATTGTCCGGCTGGGCAGGCATCGCAAACTGCCTGCGGGGTTGGGAACCTGTACTTTGCTACAGCAGTCGTGGGCTGCAGGTCAGAGATGCTCCTGCTGTGTCTTAAAGTGCAAGTCCCAACCCATCCCAGTCCCTAGCAGCCTAATGGGGATGCATTGGGCTCTGACATCCCGAGTGCTGGAGGCACCACAGGCCAGGGAGGCGATGGACCCATCATCTGCAAACCAAATGTG